ATCACTCTAAATAAGTACGTATGATAGGTGATGAAGGATAATTCGTTGACCCAGTAGTACTCAGAAGTGTTTCTTAAGTCGCGGTTCGCGCAATCTGATTGGACATTGCGAATTCGTCAAAAGGACATTTTTACGTAATAATCCAAGAAATTAAACATGCCTTCACAAGAATTCATGCACCGTAGTTAGTACCTTAGGTTTAACGGAGTGGGCACAGCTTAAAGGCAAAACATTGTGTTTCTCATGGTTAATTTAAACAAAGTCCATGTGCAAAAATCAATAATTGAAATTTGAAATGGTGAAAAAAATAGTCGAATCGCTGAGGACACTTAACTGATAGCCAATAGTCAACTGTGGTAAAAATGGTGATTGAAAATTGGCCTAGAGATTGCACAGTTACTTCAGTCAGCTTGAGTTGAAGATTAAAGCTTGAGTTGAATACATTAAAGCTACTTGCTTGCTCACAGCATGCGAAAACGAGACCTACCGGCATACAGAATGACCTTCGAACGATGCGATGAGAGCAGTCATGATGCAAATCTCACGACTGAAGGGATACAAGGACATGTTGTGCAAATAAGGAGATTTATTGGCAGTAAATGCGTTAAAAGGTTTAAGAGTGATTTCAAACAGCAAAAATTCACTTTTGGTTTCGAAGATAACTGCTCAGTAAACCAAGTTGTAATGTCTTTTCACTTCGAACCCTATTGTGTCATTTTAATTTAACTAAAAATAGTGACAACAGGTGTAAATTTAGCTCACATAATTACCAGCAAGTACACAAAATTTAACACCCTTCAGGGATTTATACAATCGTCGGTTGAGCTGACGCCTCGTGCTAAAGTCAGCATTCTCATTGGTCATCCTTCCTCGCTCCGCACTGATTGGTTCCTGACTAGGGGTTCGCTGTCAGCCTTCAGCTTATCGCATGTGTTGCACTTTTCGCGGCATCTTGTTTAGGCTGCAGCAAATCTGAAATTCAAGGTCACTGGAAAAATGAGGCGTCAGCTTAGCCTGGAACTATTTACAATGGTGCCGGTCTAAGCGGTCATGTTCATCTAATTTCGAGGCTCAGCTGTGCTGTTGCCTGAGAAACCTTTTCATGCAGAAATACACGCAAATTCGCGGTTAAAATAAGTTGTAATGCCCATTAAAATCGCTTTTATGCAATTAGTTGCGCAATCTTACATTGGAAAGTCAGACATTTGTTTTCGTGTCTCAAGTAATGAGCCAACCAATCACATGGGAGCCTTGAGCGCTTGATCGTCGCTCGATAATACTTAAACAGGTATATAAAGATGACTTTTGACATTACAAGTTCTTTTTTTTAGAAAAACTCAATTGCAGTCATTTCGTATTATGCATCCCGCATCTACCTGTGGTAGAATCGTTGGCTAAGAACCTACTACTAGGCTGGCATCATAGTCAGTAGCTCTAGACCTCATTTGTCCAAAGACCTTGAATTTCAGATTTGCTGCAACCTAAACAAGACGCCAACTAAAAAAGCAACACAGGCGATAAGTTGAAGGCTGAAAGCGAACCCCTACTCATGAACCAATCAATGCGGAGCGAGGAAGGATGACCAATGAGAATGCTGCTTTTAGCACGAGACATCACCTCAACTGGCCATTGTATAAATCCCTGATGAATGTTAAATTTTGTATATTTGCTAGTAAATATGTGAGCTAAATTTACACCTGTCATTGCTATTTTTAGTTGAATTAAAATGACATAATTGAATGCGAAGTGAAAACATATTACCATAATTAGTTGCGCAATTTTTCATTAGAAATTCAAACTTCCACTTTCGCCGTGTATCAAAGCCTACGCATCCATCATGTGCACACAATATGGTGTAAGTCTGGCTTAAGCACCTGATATGCCACCGCCATTGAAGAATGAGTTGCAATTCAGCAGCAAAGAATGCGCCCACCAATCATACAACAGCCTTGAGTGCTTAATTGTCGACCGACACTACTCATGCTGGTGAATTTCACAGTGGGATCATTATTCAAATGACCTCTTATCCAAATATACTAAACACTACCTGGGACTCTTCATGTTTCCAGTATGGAGTTTTTTATTGTGTTACTTTCTTCACAGCCTTAAGAATTAGTTGCTGATGAAGTTACTTCGAAAGGATATGTCGAAGATTTGGGTTAATTCGTGAACATGAACTCTAAACCTTGGACCAATCAGTGCGAAGTGAGGAGGGATGACCAATGAACGTGCGCCCTCACCCAAACTGACCAATGCAAAATCAGCATTCAGTACCACAATAGGACATCAACGAGATTGCGTTTTCCGGAAATTTTAATCACTTAGTTTATTTAAAAATTGTAACTATTGGTTCATGACCCACAATTAAAAATGTGAATGAAGTTACATAAACTTGATAATCGTGAGATGAACCACTAGGCTCCTAACAAGGCAGGATATGGGCTCATAATTTTTCGATCGATATTTTACGATTCCAATCCACAACAAAAATGCCATCAAGGAGTAACATTGTGATTGTCGATGTGTCACAGTTGCCTTTAGCTGCTAATCTTGTAGTTTTAAATTTAAAATGAAAGTAGGGATGGTACCATTGTGGGTTTATGCAGTTAGCGCTGGTAATATGTATGAACTGAGTTAAAACATGTTGTATTTGAGGAATATCGGTTACTAATCTGCTAATTCGTTACGGTGTCATAAAACATTGATACTTTTTGTGTGATATCATCACAAATGCCAAAAGTACAACAACGAAGCCGGTTTTGTGTTGAAGGTTGCATTTTCCGTGTGCTAATTTAGGGGGAAATGATTGACTAGAAAAGACTGCAATTTAGGAGTCAGTTATGGCAGATAGAATCCCTGAAAACCACGAACGAGTCCTGGGAAATGTACCAGATATCGACCATATCATCGACCTTTTCCTGTGCACAGTCTTTGTGCACATTTTCAACAAAGTGCGTGTGAACGCTGATTATTGAGTCGGCAGTATCAGTCTGGGCTAGGTTGCCTGTTCGCTGATTTGTCGAATGGACAGAGCCAATCAGAGGTGGGCAGGGATCTGATTGGATACACACTTTCCCAAGCCTGAAACGGTTCACTTGTACACAACAAGAAGCACGTCTTAATAAGTACTTAATTTTGCATGTTTAAATGCAAATAAATTGAAAAAAAAGATAATTCAAGTTGTGTGGCGAGATTATGTTTTTTTTAGGTTTTTATCAGTTGGATTCCGGAATACCTTTTTTGAAGTTGTTTATTTGGTTTAAGTGACAGGCAATTCAGAGAAAAGCCGCGAAAACTTCACTTGATAGGCACGCTGAAGTTCTTTACAAAACGAACTAAGCCAATTATGCAATTCTGCCTAGTTGTTGGGTGATTCACATGAATTTATTCCTGACACCAGATCACTTTAATTGTTTGCACATGAAGCAAACAGCCTCAAGCCTACATATCTGAATTTACGATTTTGCGGTATAAAATAGACATTAGTGCCAGACCTTAAACTCACAACATGGTGTAGAAAATATCACGCATTTTCGGATGTCTAACTAATCAATATGTTAGCTGTGAAGATTACTTAAACGGCTTTGACGCAAATAATATTCCTAGCTTTCGTTTTGTCAAATTAGGAAGAATTACAGACGACGCGATGTGTATGCTTGCTTGATGTTGAAACAAAGTATTTAAAAGTGTCGACCTAATCAAATTCCCCATGACGCCGCCAGAGTCTTCTCTGGGTTAGATGGAGTGAGAGTCTCTTTCAGCTTGCCAATTCCGGCAGCGTGTGCAACACGAATCCCACGCATCGATTCTGAATCCACGCAAAATCGATATTCTTTGGCGCACGACTTTCGTCAAATTCGGTGACATTACTAGAATAACGCGGGTTGAATTTAAAGTAAACACGTCAGTAACGACGTTTTTACACAAGTATTGACAAATGCTTTCAGAAAACTCTTCAGTAGTAGTTATTCCGAGTAAAAAATGACCTACAAACAACAAGTGTGAATAAAATTGCAACTAATGTACTTCTAGGTCTAACGCAAAATGACATCTGTCAAATATATTCAAATACACATAAAAAACACAAACACAACCTTGTGTATCTATGAAAGTCAAAATTTCGTCGTTGCCAACCCCACTACTTATCCGTTTCAAAGCTTTCAAGGTCGTGTCAGCGGCAAATTTTGGATAAACTAACTTGTCACAACCACGGCGCCTTGTGTTTTCCAGCAGAAACCCGTCGAAATGAAGACGAAGCATCATCCGACCATAAAAGAATTTGTTGTTTGACAAGTTGACAGCGGCGTGGGTTTCCCTGGAGGTTTACTGAGTGCCTGGTTGCGCATTTGACAAGAAACCAAAATAATTTATTGGTTTTAAACAAAACCTTTTCGAATTCCGATAGAAACCATGATAGGGACCATCGCTACTCCGACCTACCTGTCTCCGTGTTCTCAACGGTTGTGTGAGGGCACAAATTTTAAGTATTCACGACCTTGTATACACACAGGAGTTGAGCTATCCAATAAGTGTTGCATGAAGACTTCCTTATGCTTCTCATTAACGGTTTTTATTCAGGATATACTTACACCGCCTAGTTTCAACTTAATGGCAACGATTGTTGTTTAAATACACTGCCTTACATTTGTGGTCGATAAAATCCAATAGTGTCTGCTTTCAGAAGTATAGAAGTCTATCAGCAACCCCATCATTGCGCCACATCCCCTCCCAACATCGCTGATCTTGACGCCATATCCTTCACCCTTATTGTACTTTAACTGAACTGGTGGCAGATTATATTACATTTTTTAAATTTAATTTGTAACTAATACGCCTACCACCACAACTAACGCCTGCTTGAAACCACTTGTCCATATCTAAAATACAAACAACGTCCGTGCGGAAAAAAGAAGCTTTATGACAAAATCACATGGTGTCAGTACATAAAGAAGTATGTGATGTTGAGTGTAACAAATAACCACACCGTGTACCAGCCGGACTTAGTTGTATCTAGGCTTGCCCTTTTGCCTGCGCCTCGCTAACTCCTTTGCCTTCTCGTTGTCCACCTTGCCTCCGCCCAGCGTCTCCAAGTAGGCCTTGTGGAAGTCGTGGGTCGCTCTTCTTTTGAGTGCCCTGCGACGAAGCGCAAGTTTTCGTTCGAGAGACGAAGCGTGGTGCCTTTTATGGTATCTCCTTACTTGATAGGGACTGTGTTCATGGTGTGAATGGCGTCCGTACGTTGAAACAGCAAGAAGTACTAGGAGGAGACAGAAAAGGAGGAGTGTTGAAACTCGCATTGTGGTGTTAAGTCGACCGGGTGGATGCAAAACTGTGTGATTTTGAAGAAATACTCAGGTACTTTGCACACCTGGGTTCCTATTGGTCAGCTGTTGTCAGTGAAATCGTTGCATTAATTAACGACCAATGGGAGCAGCGTGTTCGGTGAAGTGGTGTCGGCTAGACGGTAATTGAGTTATGTCATTGACGGTTAAGAAGGAGTTCCCGTTGCTCTGATTTTCCTCCATTCACACACGTGCACAATAACAACGCACAAATCAAGAAAGTTGGTATCACTGCAGTCTGGCCCTCGTACCAAATGCCGCAAAATTAATTGGCATTATGCCACAATAAAGCTGAAGAGTTTATGCAAATTTACGTTACAAACATTGTCGAATTACATGTGGAGTGTTGTTTAAAAAGATAATCAACCATGGTTCACGAGAACAGGGAAAGCGACTACTCAGGGATTAGCATTAACAGCATCTTGTGGGCGGGTGAGTTGTAAACACATGTTTAAATAATGGACATGTGAATTGACTATCAGAATAATATGATAGCATGAATATTTCCTTAACGGGTAGTGCTAGAATCAAACATAGGCTCATTAATTTCGTAATTAGGAAGCAAAGTTTTGCGTACTCACTGAAAATTGGGAAACAAGCAAGATTCGCCTACAATAAAGCCCGACATTGTTATAGTGTGAGTTTGTAAAAAAGTGTGTCCAAAAAAATTGAAAATCGGACTGATTTTAACACCACATTTTAAAAACCACACAATCTAGATGGTGATTTATCTGCTTGTTGATTTAAACAAAAAAAGTAGATCAAGACTGCAGAACGAGAATGACTGGAATGGGTAGCCAACAATATTCGAAGGAGGTAGATATTTGCTGCTTGGATTGCCAGTGAGTGTAGTGAGTTGTTAAAGGTAGTGCGCCAACATCCAGACTACCAAGGTATCAAACATGTTTAGTGAAAAGAGGAGTTGTAGCGACGTAAAACGGCGCAGACATACAGAACTAGGCTGGCCTTAGCCAATCCTTTGTCTCCCTACGATCCAGTGGCATGCGAGGAAGATAAGCAGCCAGCGTGGCGGACTCGGATGGAAGGCGCCTGACGTGTGGTTCTGGCTTGTGATTGGTCAATAAAGCCTGATCTGTTGTACCAGTCTTCTTCGTGTTAGGGCTAGGGTATTCTACAGAGTGAAATACGAGGAAGAAGACATATTGAAATACGCCGACCTCAGCCAATCCTCCGTCTTTATGTCTTTTAAGGATCCGTGAGGAAGATCTACAGCCAACCAGAGAAAAATACGGATGAGAAGCAGTATATAATGGGATGCGTGGTCAGCCTGGTGGATTTAGTTGGACGGCACCTGAATTACCTTTAATGGCTTGTGATTAGTCAATGAAATCTCTTCTGTTGTTCCAGTTTTCTTCATATAAAGGCTCGGGTGTTCCACAGAGGAGTATGCAAGAAATCAAACCAAGGCTCCTGTGCCCCACATTGACTTTGGAAACATCTGCGTAGATTCTAGCCAATAGGGTTAGCGGGTAGACAGATCGTTACAAGCAGGCAATACTGCGAGTGAAACAAGATCTTCACCTTTGTAGAACGATGACTTGGCAATGCGGTGGGCGACCATAGGCCTGTCATTCAGTCTACATGGAACAAATCGCACTAAAGATAGTGCTTTTAGTTTATATACTAGTATTTATGAGCAAATTAAACTACCAAAAGAGGTGTTGCTTCTAGTTTCATTAGATGATAAAAAAACCTGAGGTGTCCTTTTCGTGACGTGGTTCATCGTACTTGGTATAAAATTGGCTGTCATTGCCATTTTAACTAGACTTTTGATACTACAATGACAATTCAGTTTCTAAATGACAAGTCCTATAAAAGTGATTTTTTCATTCTTATAAATAGATTCTTGATACATCTCTTGTACAAAATAGCAGCGGCTTAGACCCTAGCAAACAGACACACTGGAAAATAAGAACAAAAGAGAAGATTCCGGACACTAGGACGTGTTATTGCTGAGGGGCGAACTGAACAGTGTTCCAAAGGAAGTCAGTACAGTAAAACAAAAAGTCACTAAAATGACAAATATTGCACCATCCTTATCAGCCATTTCTGCTAGAAATATTGCTTTGTCCCAACAAATCGGGCGGAAATGCAAACGATAACTTCAGCATCTCCTCAGAACGTTTCAGGTATTTGCAAAAGATCTGTAGTCACAGAAGACCGACAATCTGGTATTGGGGTGTAGGCGATTAAACTATTCGTCAAGAACACACTGAAATCGTGAAATTTCAAAGGTGATTCGCTGCTTTTGAAGACAATGTTTTGGTATAAAATCTGTAGTGCTGATTTCTGCAATTTAAGAACAATGTATGTGATAGCATAAAGTACTTTAGAATACCTATGCCCTAGTATGAAGGAAACTGGCCCAACATAGAAGATTTACTATCAATAACACGGCAGCATCGTGCGTCTGGTGTAGAGCATTCGAGTCCGATACGTTGGCTGCGGTGATCACTGTATTCTCGTATTTATCCCTTCTTGGCTTAGATAGACTGAATATCTTATTCACAGATCATTTAAAGAGGATTGGTTGGACTCAACATAGTTCAAAATGTTTGTGCCTGTATAGGTTACCACAAAATTCCTGCTTCTGGCGTAAAACACCGTAATTCAAAAGGACGCCCACTGCCTAAAAAAGGCACACAGTGAATGAATTTATAATGATCAATACATAAAGTTATCCAAAATTAGCTTTCACGAAATCCAGTGCCAAAAGCAGTTTTTTGTGGGTTAATGTTTCTGCAGAATTTCTGCCCAAAATTAAAAATTTCATGACATGATCTAACAATAAAGTAAGCCTGAGAAATAATTCTGGGTACTCATCGCTAACAGTGATTGATCTAATAAGTTATTTTAGCATGAACCTTGACTGATGTAGAAAATACATTTTGTTGTAAGTGTATGAGGTCAAAATATAAGTCTTATGGCTCCTGGAACTAGCAAAATTTTTGTCTGCCCAGTATGTCCTCTAAGCATGGAATGTTAATTGACCTACGCCATCCGTTTCGACATCTTATAGTGTAACCATTTATATATGATTTTGTAATAAGTACTAAAATTTTCGAAACATTTTTATTTATTATTATATGAGGCATTTTTGTTATTAGTCCTCGTGAAAACACTTTTTCCTAATCACTTACGCGTCATCTGTACCTAAGGAAATATTAAAAATTGAGTATTCAACAAAAATCCTTGATAACACTTGTTCAATTTATTTACATGATAGTGCATTGTACACTTAATCTATGCAATTTGCTCCATTGTCATTTTAGAAGTAATGTTGTTAATGCCGTGGGTCGACGTTGTTGTCACTGGCTATTTCCCGGGTACCACTTTAACCTGCGTTTTCACTTCTCTGGTGCGTTACGCAATTTTGACGAGATTCACATTTGCCCATCGTTAGTACTTGTTTAGTTATTTGAAAATAAGTCAAAGTAATACTTAATGCCAGTCTATCATCCTTTTCCATTTTGTATGGTGTCTTAATTTTGTCGTTTTTTAGTGCTGGTACAAATAGTCTCCATCATAATGAAGTTGTGACCAAAATATTAATCATACTGAATGGAAATTGAGCGTGGAAACATTCTTGTGGCTGCACGTTTTGTAGTTCGAGAACTTCTCGACTACGTTTCGACTCACCAATTGGCGGTGGTTAATTATGATGTCGAATGTGAGAATTCAACAAATCTTTCCACAATTACTTCTCGTCTGCTGTGCATAATCGAATGCGGAATCTGTCATGGACTAGCTCCTGCTGCCGCAAGGTCTTCGAAGCCTGTTACCTCCATTCCATTGCCTAACCCCTGGCCCATAATCTCTCACGCTAATATTGGTTGTCGGAGTTTAGTTGACAGCGTGTGTCTCTTTGACGACATTAAAACCGGCCTTGGACGAACCCGTCTCTGGATACGACACGCACTCATGAGCAATGTATGCCTAGTCTTATTCAATTGCTCATTCCTTGTTTAAGCAATTAGGTGTGTTTGTACGGAGCCTGGTTGAACAGAAAGACGCCAAGAACATTCCCTCTTACTACTTCAACTTCACCATTGACGACTCACCAACCAAGCCCTCAAAGCACTTGAGCATCTCAGACGTCTACAAAAGTGGCTCTCTCCTTACTTCAGACGAAGGCGTCAATTTCGCACACCTCCTTTGTGGTCTGAGTGTCATTGATTTCTGCTTTGTACTCAAAGACAACTTGGCTTCACTCGACAGGCCCGTAAGCGTCGTTTTCCCACAATATGCCCGTGTAGTTGGACGTTATTGATTACCGACCGTGCATTAGACCGCTTGTGGACGCCTCCTCGCCTTGTGAACCTCCATCCCAGTAGGTTGCATTGGCGTCTGTGATATTCACTTGTGCATTAAGAGTGGAAAAAAATCAGTTGAGCCTAAACCACCTAATAATGTTGTGTTAAATTTCGATAAAATGACTTTATTTTGATTTTTTGGAAAGATTTCACAATAACTAAACCGTCTTTGCTATGTAGGAGACATTGCTTTTTGTGGTATTGTAAGTCATGTTTACAGCAACAGATTAGAACCACGGAACACATTCTGCTTCATTGAGTTCTCTAATGTTTTCTCGAACATTCATTCATTCATTCATTTACTCGTGTCATTTAGAACGGAGCTAGAAGCGCGTCTGTCGGCAGTGATTGAGCAGAAAACGTATCTGGAGGAAACGCTGTCAACCACCCAGTAAGGTCGTCACCTTGACTCCCAGTCTCGCTTGCCTAGATCACGCGTGGAAAAACTGACTGCAGACCTAGCCGATGTGACCAATCAGAAGGCAGCACTGGAGAGCTCTAACGCCGACTACGCAGCCAAGGTGTCAGAATTGGAGAATCGCAACAGCCGTCTGTCGAATCTGCTCGTCAAACAGTCAAGGGTACGTGCGAAACCATTTTAGTTCTCACATTTGGTGCTGTAAACTTAATTTCTGTGTCCTTTATCAACTGCGTAGTTGTAGGTTTGGTAACTACGTGTTGAGCTCGGGTGTGGTTGCGGTAACTGCGATGCTGACTTGTAAAATGAGCATTTTTTGTGCACTAGGAGGTTCAGAACGACCTGGAGCTGGTTCGGGAGACCTTTAAGCACTCCAACCTGTCTCTCGACAACCAGAACTCGGAGCTGGAAAAGCGACTTGCCGAGGAGAACAAACGGCGGTTGGTAAGTGCTTTTTTCTGCCGGTGACAGGCTCAAACCCTTCCTAGGAGGCTGAGGAAGCTCTTGTCAAAGAATCCGAAGCCAGGGCCGACCTGGAGGCTAAACTTGCGCTCCTGCAGGTGACGCATAGTGACAATGAGGGTTTTCTGGCGGAACAACGACGTCAAAATGCCGACCTCGTGGCCTTGAACAGGGAGTTCTCCCTCAAACTCAGCGTATGTGTATACGTGTTACTTTTTTTTAATTCAGTAGGACGTACTTTATGTCTGCCCATCTCCTGTAGAACGTCACTGGCGAGCTCGAAGCAAGCCACAAACTCACCACTGATCTTCAAGAAAAGATTGAAGGCATGTCCACCGTCATCGGCACAATGGACGAGAGGTTCACCGAGCTGAAGGAGTCGAAGTGCGCCATGGAACAGGCCCTACGCGAGGCCATCGACAGGGCCAATCGAGCTGACCGTCTGTGTGTCCAACTGCAGACCGACCTCCAAGCCAACCAGGAGTTCACGCAGAACCTGCAGGCACAGCTTGACGAGGTCTGCACCGACTACGCCAGTGTGGCAGCGCTGCAGGAGAACTTGGACAGGAAAAGCCAGGTATTCTGGTTAAATTCGTTTCCCGCGTTTAAGCACCCACGTTGAGGTCAAAAGCGTGCGTGTAGATCACATAAAAATGGGGAAATTCGAGTCTATCGAAAGTCTACTGTCTGCTTTTAGTGTGCATAGTGAATTGTCCGTGGAAGAGCTAGATCCACAACAAATGCCAGCATGTTGTAGCCAACGGGGTTGTTGTTATGAGTAAAGTGGTGGTGGTGGTGATGCTGGGAGGTGGGGAGGCAGTTTTCAGAGGAATACCTAATTGGCGAACTTCTTCGACGTCCCAGAACGGTATTTGCGGTGAAGTGCTGTGAGCACCATGCGTCACCATGACAACGCTGGACCACGCGTCGCTCTGTAGGCATTCAAGAACTCTAGCAGTTACAATGGCCTTGGCCCTCTTCCTCTGTGGACACTAGTTTGGGTTTCGCAAAAATGGACATCATGTGGTTGGCCAAGAACTACCTCACGACTTTGTGTGAAGAGAAATCCCGCAAAGACCACAAAATAGGATTTGAAACGCTTGTAGAATGTTGTGAGTCGGTGAGGGTGCATAATTGCTTAGTAAGTACTAATTTTTTTCGTGGAATTGTGTTGTGGTTAATCTCGCTTGAACTCGAGCTATTATGTAGTTCCTCCACTTCTAAAATGAGCAAATCCGAAGAATTTTAGCGAGACACTTCTGTAGACGGTCGAAGGTCTTCATAAAATCCAACACCAACCGTTAATACTCCGATCATATTCAATTGGGTTTGTGTGAAAATGATTGGCTCCTGTGTGGCCCCTCCCCAATTATCTGTCATTGGTCCCCCTGAATACTCATGGCTGCGTCCGTTCCTCACCATTCACCACACACACACACACACACACCACGATAACACCTAATTCCGGGTACGTGAATGAAAATGCTTGTATGTTCTCACCAACTTTCGTAGCGCAGCCAGCATTGGCGTGCGGTGATTGGTTCTCCTGATCCACCAACCAGGTGTTACCTAACTCTTGGTTTGTGTGAAAATGATTGGCTCCTGTGTGGCCCCCCAACTATCTGTCACTGGTCCCCCTGAACACACACGCACACCCGCACACCCGCACCACGATAACATCTAATGCCTGGTATGTGAATGAAAACGCTTGTGTGTTCTCACCAACTTCCGTTACGCGGTGATTGGTTCTCCTAGTGTCCAATCGCAAGCCTGACCCGCCAACCAGGTGTTAGCTAACTTCGTTGTAGTGATCCTTCAGTCCAGATGTTTCTACAAGCATTAGTAGAATCGTTTGTCACACCACTGCAAATTTTTAACCAGAGCTGGACTGTCAAATCAATATTAGCTTCAGCCAATCAGGCAGCGAGTGGTTAAATCATCGAAATCGGCGCCTTGTGAACACACAGGTTACTTCTAACTCAATTCGTTTTGATTGGTTACGACGACAAGGTCACCACTCGACAACTGCAATTGAGATTACCCTATGTCGTGCTCTGACTACTTTTACAAAAGTGATAAGCATCCAATAACGCGAGATGTTGGTGAAGGTGTTTATTGGGGTGAAATACGTCGCTGTGAACGAATTTCGATTTGCTCACAAAACTGCCGCGCCAGACCAATAAAACAAGATACAGGGCGGTAAGGGACGGGTAACACTGTCGTCTGATTACCCAATTTCCCCCTCCTTTTTAGACTCTGCGTGAACGCGACGCGATAATAGCGGAGTTGCAGACGCGGTGCAGCGAGCAGGAGGCGGGTCTGGCGGAGATGGCGGCGCAGGTGCAGTCGGCGCAGCTGCGCGCCGACCGCGTCACTGAGCAGCTGCGCCACCTCCAGACTGCCCAATGGAAGCACGACGGGGAGGTGCACGCCTGCACCCAGTGCGCCACACCCTTCTCCATCGCCCGACGCAAGGTTCGTAGTTGGGTTGTGTGGAACCCCACGGTGGCATCTTTTGGACCGCCAGGGGGGGGAGGTAAGGGGGGTACCTCACGGGTCGTTCACCCTCTCGCGAACCCTCCTCGGACTCCCACCATCCTCGAAAACCTGTATTGGTTGGGTCGAAATCGGTGCATAGAGGTGTTGTAAGCCCCGGAATGTGGTCTTGAACCGCGCCGGGGCCACAGAATTAACCCTGGCCCGATTACACTTCCCTGATGCCCGCGATGAAGAAAAAGACCGGAGAGGACGGACACAACCGTTTGCTTCAGAGCTCAACCACGTTGGTGTCGTTGTGTCGTATGTGGGGTTTGTGCGTGTGTATTTATACCTCAGATGTGTGAGTCATACATGCGCTAACATCGAGACCTGTGTGCGAGGATAATCCAAGATAGATGTCCGTGCGAATTAGGGGGGAGTTGAGGATCCGCGCGGCTGGCGACATGCTGCGAAAAGGGTAACCCAGTGTCGGAGGCGGAGCGACCGGATTAAGGGGTGTGAATAAACACGATTCACGACAGTGGTTCAGTTCCATCTTCACGTGTGTAGTAGTACTTCACAATGGCCTTGGACAATAACTCTAAAGATTGCGACTGAGCCAATGGTACAGATGTAGAAGCATCACAGGTTCGTACTAAACCGGTTACGTAGCCTTATTACCTACAACCGTGGTGAACGTCTTTGATTGATGACTCAAGATCCAGGTGGCAGTAACCCAGATGCAGTGTTTGGTCAAGAACCAGGAGTCACAGTAGAGATTTACCCGTTCACACGTAGCTCACACGAGAACCGACCACGTCTGGGTGTTGAAGACACGCCTAATGCTGGTCGACGAAGTTTTAGCGTCCACCATCATTTGAACCTTAATCGTTCGTTCACGGTTCCGATGTTCCGAGGAGGCGTCCATTTGCTGTTCGTTTTTAACTGACAATGTTGGGCTAAAACTCATTTTTACCCCCAATAAATTACTAAAGCCTACCCCTAGTCCATTGTCTCCCATGGCATCAAAATTGCTCAAATCACAGGCACCTCGCTTGTATCACAACCTTCAGCTCCCATAAAGATCTTCAGGTCGTTGCAGTCAGTTGCAGAAGTTGGATATCTCCAGCCGATTTAACGCATCAC